TAAGCCCTATGTTGACCAAACTTGCATGGATGATACATCTAAGGATGCATACTACCGGGCTTGCTTCGGATGCTGAATCTGACCTACATTTTCCGGTTGAGTGAACAGGTTAAAGTTTTTGGTGCAAGTTTCATTTCCAAGTAACTATAAGCCCTATGTTGACCTAACTTGCATGGATGATACATCTAAGGATGCATACTATAGAGTTTGCTTCGGAATCTGAATCTGACCTACATTTTCCGGTTGAGTGAACAGGTTAAAATTTTTTATGCAAGTTTCATTTCCAAGTAACTATAAGCCTATAAGGTTGACCAAACTTGCATGGATGATACTTCTAAGGATGCATACTACCGTGCATGCTTCGGATGCTGAATCTGACCTACATTTTCCGGTTGAGTGAACAGGTAAAAGTTGTTGGTGCAGGTTTCATTTGCAAGTAACTTTACGCCCTATGTTGACCAAACTTGCATGGATCATACATCTAAGGATGCACACTTCCGGGCTTGCTCGGATGCTGAATCTGACCTACATTTTCTGGTTGAGTGAACAGGTAAAAGTTGTTGGTGCAGGTTTCATTTCCAAGTAACTATGAGTTCTTTAATGACCAATCTTGCATGGATGATACATCTAAGGATGCATACTACCAGGCTTGCTTCGGATGCTGAATCTGACCTACTTTTTGTGGATGAGTGAAAATGTTAGTTTTTGATGCATGTTTCATTTCCAATTAACTATGAGCCCTATAATGAGCAAATTTGCATGGACATACATCTTTGGATGCACACTAATGGACTTGCTTTGGATGCTGAATTCGACATACATTTTTCAGATAATAGACCAGGTAAAAGTTATGGGTGCAGGTCTATTACCAAAAAACTATAAGGCTTATATAACATTGTATAAACCAAACTTGCACAAATGTTGCATCAAGAGATGAAAACTCTCAAATTTGCTTCAGATGCTGGATTTTGATTACATTTTCATGAAGAAGAACTAGTTTAAATTTTTTATGTAGGTCTATTGCAAAGTATCAGATCAAAATTGCTTAAATATTTTCATATTTGGAATGTACACTTTTTGTTGGTTAATTGTGTGACTTTGCCTTACTTAAAGACAACATTCGTTGAGGTGAGCTCTGTAATCTCTGATTACCTATGTTTAATGGTTCAGAACAACAAAAGTATTTTACAGAATATCTTGTATACATCTGCACAAAAAACCAAATTCCAAAACCTACGGAAGCCCATTAGTGCCAACCTGTATATATAAAGGAAAAGCAATATATAAAAGCAAACCTCGATATATAAAGGAAATGCGATATATATAAACAAAACCTGGATATATATATATATATATATATATATATATATATATATATATATATATATATATATATATATATATATATATATATATATATATATATATATATATAGGAAATGCGAAATATATAAACCAAACCTGGATATATATAAAGGAAATGCGATATATATAAACAAAACCTCGATATATATAATAAAGGAAATGCGATATATATAAAGAGAAATGCGAAATATATAAAGAAAACTTCGATATATATAAAGAGAAAAATTTCCACCGCCTGACCTTTAACATCTTTAATGACCTTCATTACAACAGAGACTTGCCAAAATATGATAAGCAGCTCCCGATCTAATGTTTTGATTGCGATCAGTTGGTGTGGCTGTATCAGGATGGTATTCAGTGTGTTGTTTTCTTTATTTGTGTATCTTGATAATTATGATGATTAAAACTAAAGCTAAAAAACTGCTGCTCTTCCTACTGTGCGAAAATTATATGGATTGTTTGAAAAAAATATGTACATTTATTTATAAAATTAATAGTATTGTCCGTTCTTCTTAGTTATCATCTTCTGCTTGACCCAATGTATTATATGTATAATTATATGTTTTTTTATGTTAATTTCTGTACCTCATATACAATTTACATGGTTTTGAGTGAATAAATTGAATTGAATTGAATTACATTTCAAAGACTTCAGAGACTTTTCTGCGTAAAACGTATATTAATGTTGGAGTCTTTTCAATCGAACTATAATTCGGTGCAAAAATACAAGTTTGTTTTATCATACTTGATAGGTTCTTTAACGTTTTACTACGTTAAAAATACATGATGTATGGAGAATTTCAAATCGATTTTATCAACGACGTGGGACAAAAATCCGCAGTTTGATTATGTAAGTGTACATGCACTAATTCGCTTCTTTTTATCAATTCCCAAATACTTGATATTTTTTCCACACCATTAAAGACCCTAGAATTATTACAGTATTAGTATAATTTTAAATGTCACTTTCTTCCCTCACATTCATATGAAGTGGGTACCTTCATTCCTCCCTCTCTCCCATTCCGATATATATTGATTATTTTTTAACAATCAATGGGCATACTAGTTAAATATTTTTTAAATGAATTAAGAGTTCCCGTTAAACATTATTTTCATAAATTCTCGGTTGTGAGACCAAAGGCAGTGCGGCTACGTTTTTTAGTAAAACAGTAAACAAGGTAGCTATAGGTTGTAAAAACGAAGTTGATCATATCATATACATGTAAAGCCAAAAAATGCACAGAAAATACGATAAATATTATACTTATTTCATTAATATAAATAATTAAATCAAATGTGGATCCAGGGCCGGCGCGCCGGTCGTGCCCCCCCCCCCCGGTTGAAATATTTGTATATTAAATTTATAGGTCCATTATCCAGGATCTGTACAGCGACCAGAACCCCCCTGCCTTCTACTGCGCCCCCTCCCTCCGTTACGAAACTCCTGGATCCGCCACTGTAAATGCTCTTCTTCTCAATTAAGTGCATTATTTTAAGTAATGTTACAATTACAGTTCGTTTATATATGCATAATTATACAAACAAATAAACACTATTACATGGCAACATTTTGCCGATTCTGGGAAAACTGTATAACTGATTCCCCCCTGCCAGGAGTTAATCTGTATATATATCCAGGTTTTGTTTATATATATAGCATTTCCTTTATATATCGAGGTTTGCTTTTATATATTGCTTTTCCTTTATATATACAGGTTGGCACTAATGGGCTTCCGTAAAAACCAGAATACTACTAAATAATATAAATATATTCTTTACATATGAACCACAGTTTTTCTGACCCCTTGAAAATAATATAAAAAATCTTGCAAGTAGGTTATCAGCATTGGCTCGGGCTAATTCGAAAGTGAAATTTGGTGTTTGGCTCTAAATAATCTGTGATTATAAATCCTGGCTTCAAATTCTGAATTATAATTTTGAAATCAGAACATGATGGATATGTAGGTTATAAAACTTACGAGTAAATAACACGTGTGATGCTGAAAGCTGGAGTGAGCTTTTCTCCGACAAATGAAATACTGGGAACGCATTCCATAAAATTTTCGAGATGTTAGGAATGAATTGTTAAGAATGACATATGAAATATTTATGGTTTTATGAATCTAAACGAGGGCAGTGGAGCACACTCCTTATATATACTAGTAATCATGCAATATATAATTAACTACAGAAAATAAAGCTACTGTATGGAACTGCCCCCCTTCACATAAGTACATCTGATGACCTTTTTTAGCCTGTGAAAGAACATACACGAAGAAGCAGTGGGATAGGGGACATGTTCCCCATTTGTAAAAAAAAAATACTGTTCCCAATTTTTGTTGCAGTATAGTTAAATAGGGTAATGTTGTAGTGAATGAATAAAATTTAGTAGTGAAAGATATTGGAACCTATTTTTCTTGTCAGGTTTCTTCGAGCTAGTCGATTTTTATTCTAACAGTTCTACTCCCCCCCCCCCACCCCCACTTAAAAAAACCGATGCTACCTACCTGAATTAATATTTCTTAACAGTGTTCACCGAAATGATTGGTTGTGCCCCCAAACTTGAATAGTTTTTAGGGGCCTGGAATTCCTGGCCCAAATTTTATTTTATGAGCCCAACTATATTTTCGAAGAAGGCAAGATTGTATGGTATGTAAGTTTCATCTACATATGTTACGTAGTCCATGTTAAAAAAACCCTAAGGGATGTTTGACAATATCCCATTCAGGGTGTAAAAATAGCAGTTTAAAGTACTTTATATACTTTGTACTTGATAATGCGCTCCATATTGAAGTTCCGTAGTCGCTATTTTGTAAATGTTCACCCAACCAAAAATGTCCACTAATGGGATGAATAAATTACAATTTAATAAATCATGCAATTTTAATTACAATCATGTTGATTATATTTGATAACGATTATCTAGAACGAAAAGGAAGCGGCAAAATCAATATTCAAACTTAATTGCATGGAAATATTCAGATATTATTCAGTTTATGATATCCAGGGGGGGGGGGGGGTTACTGTAGAAGTACTTTTTCAGCGTGGTATTAATTTACGCTATGTACGCGATCACAATTTTTCCGCAGAAATTTGACCAATCTAACTTAATATCCGCGTAATTTTCTACCAGCGGATTGTACAGAAATGGAATTATGACCCCGTGGAAAAAAAGTACGTCTACAGTATCTCATAAATACGTATGCATGTTGTTTATACTTGTTTTGGAACCATGCACATTATTCGAACATGTGCACGTCTCAGTGACATAAATGGACAGACAGGTTTGCCACATCCCTTCCTTAATTTCCTGTATGTTAAGGTCAATGTAATACCAGAATGGCGAAGAGAAAGACACAGTATATCTTATGAATGAAACAAATGTTGTAACAAAGCTTATCGCAGTGTAAATCATGGTTTTAGAAATAACCAATCACGAGCCCACAGTGTAATCTATGGTCACAAAGAGACAAACGTCACAATGAGACAAACGTCAAAATGAGACAGATGTCATAATGAGACAAACGTCACAATGAGACAGACGTCATAATGAAACAAACGTCATAATAAGACAAATGTCATAGTGAGACAAGTTTCATTAGAAACTTTGTTTGTAGTTGAAACTAGTCAGAAACGGATGTCCAAAAGAGCAATGAAGGTAGGATATAAACGATCTAGTACATAGAATTAAAGAGCTTTCTATGTATGAGAGTTATAAAAATGTATTCAATATTTTTCTTTCTTTTTTCTTTTTTGCAAAGGGTCTTATATGTTAGCTTTATCTTGAAATGCAATAAACTAATGTAAATAAGGAACTGGAAGTATTCAGTATAGAAGATAGGAGAGAAGATAGGATCATATGAATATAAAAATCAAGTCCGTAGAAAAGGCCCACCGCAGCCCCCCCCCCTTCCCCCAACCCCCCAACCCCCGATAAAAAGGATTTTTGAGTTTACTTTTTGTTCACTTTTAAAACCGTTGATTAGAATTTTAATATTTACATAGTGTTGGGACTCGATTGATTTTTAACTCTTATACGTTTGCATGGTAATAACACGTTTTTCCTAGTGTTGTCGATTTTGACTAAACTGAATGAAGTAACCAATTTTATACCTTATTTTTATTTTTTCTGATGAAAATAGAGAACTCTAGGAACCTTAAAGGGTAGAAAGAACAACAGGACCAAGAATGAGAATAAACCCGTGGAAGATGCAGATGCCGATGCAACGAGTGAGAAATCTTTTGAAGAACAAGGAAATGCTCCAAAGGCATCAACAATGTCTAAACCTTCAGTGGCTGACATTGGCCAAAATAATGCAGGTCTTGCATTGAAGGTGCAATTATCTGAAGAGGTAAAAAAAAAACTTTTATCTAAACTGAATTGTTTCGAAAAGTAGTACAGACAAATATTTTCTACATTTATATTCATTAAGTACATGTATAACTAGAACAGATCTTGCAAACATATCTTAAGGTCAAGATCTAGTAAATGAAAGGTGCCTACAGACTTATCAAATTTGAGAAATAAGTTCCTTTATTGATGCTTTACAACTTTAACTAGGTCAAATATGGTGTTTCGGGGCATAATTTGTAGGTAAACAAGATGAAAAACTGTATTTTAAATTGTCATTTTCAATGAAAAATTAAGAGAACCAGTCATAAATATGGGAGTTTTTTTCATATTCAACAAAGAAAATGTATCCAGATTGCCTACAGTCTCATAGAAAACGGTAATTAGTATGTTCATGGCCTCTTCTTTAAACTAATATAAAATTTAATATAGGTATCCGGTTTACTTTTCATATGATTTCAAATTAAATGACATGAAAATACCCTATTTTCTACATAATTCTGCTAAAGCCGTAAAGTACGGGAAAAGAAAGTTGAAATTGATTATGACGTCATAATGGATCTAGCACCAAAAAATTAGTCTAAAGAGGAGGCCATGAACATAATAATTACCGTTTTCTGAGAGACTGTAGGCAATCTAGATACATTTCCTTTGCCGAATACGAAAAAAACTCCCATATTCATCATTGTTTTTCTTAATTTTTCATTGAAAATGACAGTTTAAAATACAGTTTTTCATCTTGTTTACCTACAAATTATGCCCCGAAACACCTTATTTGACGAAGCTAAAGTTGTAAAGCATCAATAAAGGAATGTATTTCTTAAGTTTGATAAATCTGTAGGCACCTTTCATTTACTAGATCTTGACCTTAACAAGGAATACTCTTCTTAATTTAGGATGTACGCAATATTCTTAGAGACGTTTTCATCTCTGTGTCTAGGAGACGTACCGCCATAGAGCAAATGTGAGTAATACAATTCAATAACAAATATTTCCAAGCTGTACATGTATTAAAAAGAGTTCATGTTTGGGGAGGGGAGTCAGTTTTCACAGTGTTGGGAGAAAACCCTGTCAACTCATCAGAGAGAGAGAGAGAGGGGGATTGAAAGTACATTCGTTTCTGCAGTCCGACAAGGCAAAAATTAGCCTTTTTGATTGTATTAACTGTATACTAGTATAAATACTGTATGCAGGGAAATTTTCGCCCCGTTTTTTTGTCCTCCTCTCAAGTGGGCGACTTTAAAACGGGGGGGGGGGATTCAAAGAACACAGAATAAATTCTTAAACAGAAATGTGACTGGGCAAAATTAAAGCGGGGCAAAATTGTAAGCAAGTGTAAAAGGACAAACATTTAAACACGGGGCGAAAATAACCTTGTATATAGTATTAATTATATTTATGTCTGGTTTTAGAATCGCCAAAGAACAGGCGAATGAATTAGCTGCTGCTTTCATGGAGTCATTTGAAAAAAGGGCCAAGTTTACAAAGAGATTCTATTTAGACGGTCGAAGAGAACCACAGGAGGTATGCCACTTTAAAATTGTAACCATGTCTTACTTTTATTTAGGTTAATAGTGGATAAACAAAACATTTGAAGACCTATTGATTTATTATAGTTGATTTTATTTTAGTGCAACATACATGTATCGTGTTTCATAATATGCATGTATGTGCGTATGTGTGCAATTTTCGGGTTACATATGCACGCCTCTTGTTTTTATGAAATCGTTTGAAGACAGTTTACTTTCTATCCATAACAGACATTTAATTAATGACTGGATTTCAATGCAACATGCGTATATGACAAACTATATTTGGTTCATTTTGCCCGAAGACCCAGTCATTTTTTTTTTTACATTTCAATTCATTAATTTCACTAGTATAAGCTTCCTTTACCACAACCACTCGACACACCTCTACCGATTCGTACTTCATCGAACACCGAAAACTTTTATGAACACTGATGAATGTCACGGAATCAGCCGAGGCGTGCCGAGTGTACTAAGAACCTCGACTGATTCTATCACCTTCATTAGAAAAGGTACAAATCGGCCGAGATGTGCCCAATGCACTCAGTTTAATGATCGGTCAATTCCGAAATCAGATCGAACACCAACTACACTCTGATCACCTCGACCAATTCCATCTACCGTTAGATAGAATATCGACCAAGGTGATCCGAGAGACATCCGAGGTTAGATGTAGGATACTGGAATCTGCCGAGATGAGCCGAATGCACCAACAAATGCAAATTCAGATTTTTGCCCACGCTGTGACGTAAGCGGTCCAATAATGTGGACAGGTCCAATATCTTAATCCGCGGTCAAATATTGATTTTTATGACCGATCAGTATAAAATACAGGAAATGTTAGACGTTTTTTCATCAAAAATTTTACTAAAAAATATTAGTTATGTATTTATCTTTTTTCATGGACAGATTCTCTACAAAGCGGCAGAGGAAAATTTGAAAGATTTGATTATTCGTACAACCAGCAACCCATGTACATTGTAAGCATGATTACCATTACAAAATTAATTTCCAGCAACATTTAGGTCTTTTATACTAATACATATATCCAAACTGGATGTTTTATTCGATTGAAATCATCTTGTTTTCCTGATAAGGAGCTCATTTTGATTTTTCCAACGTTTGATTTTTAAAAATATATTTCGTAACGATTCAGCTATTTCCGTAAATGCAAATTTTACGGGAAAAAATTAGAAAGTGTTAATTTTCAAATTGTTTTTAAAATGCAAATTGAATCTCATATCTTTGTATTTGGTAGTGAAGGAAAACCACTGTTCCTTCTCAAGCATCCTATGTGTCTGCTACGAACTCCGGAATTGGACAAAAGAATGAATACCAGGCTAAAGCAATTACGCGCTGAGAAATTGGAAATGCAGCAGGTATTTAAAATTTAACATATACATTTGAATTACCACTCATTTTCTTTAAACTTCATGCAAATTGCTTCAGTTATATTTTTAGCTCTTCTGAGCCAAAGGCTCAAAGAGCTAATGCTATGGCCATTTGTGCGGTGTGCGTCGTGCGGTGTGCGTTAACTTTTTAGAATATGGGCCATAACTCAAGAACCCCTTGGCCAATCAGTGTCAAATTTGTCACAGGGTATCCTTGGCCCAAGGGCTACCATTTATACTAAAATAAGGGTTGGGACCCTAAAACAAGGGGAGATAATCAGGAAAACAAAACCAAAAGTACTGGTTGCTAAAAAATCTTCTTCTCCAGAACCACCAGGCAGATTTTCACCAAACTTACATACAATGATCAGGATATGTTGAAGATTAAAAATTGTTCAAGGCATGACCCTGGGGCAAAGGGCGTGGTCTCAAGGTCACTTTAAAGTCGACCTAAATTTACAATTGATAAAAATGTTTATATTTTGCTTACTATAAGGACTAGGATCATCAAATCTTGTAAGTTGATGCATCTTAGGACTTCACATCATGTTAACTCAAAAGTAGGTCACGGTGACCTACTTTTTTAATTTTTCGGGTATTTGTTTTCAAATTGATTTGAAGGCATATTTTGGACACTTTAAGGCCTATGATCATCAAACTTAGTCAGTTGATGCATCTTGGGTCCTTGAACAACGTCAACTTAAAAGTAGATCACCATGACCTACTTTTTGAACTTTATGACTTATCCTTTTTAAAACATTTAATCTCATTATTTTAGGCACTGAAAGGGTTAGAATCATCAAATCTTGTAAGTTGCTGCATCTTGGGACCTAAAACATATTTAAGAAAAAATAGGTCACTGTGACCTACTCGTAGAATTTTGCAGGCATTTGTTTTCAAATTGTTTAAAAGGCATATTTTGATTACCTTCAAACCTACGATCATCAAACTTGGTCAGGCGATGCATCTTGGGACTCTGAAAAATGTCGACCAAAATGTAGGTCATGGTGACCTACTTTTGACATTTTATGGCTATATTTAAGTATCTTAGGTATTTATTGGCTTAGAATCATCATACTTTGTCAGTTGATGCATCTTGGGTTTTCCGAGAGTGATGACCAAAAATTAGGTCACAGTGACCTACTTTTGACATTTTATGGCTATATTTAAGTATCTTAGGTATTTATTGGCTTAGAATCATCAAACTTTGTCAGTTGATGCATCTTGGGTTTTTGGAGAGTGATGACCAAAAATTAGGTCACAGTGACCTACTTTTGATATTTTATGGCTATATTTACATGTAAGTATCTCTGGTACTTATTGGCTTAGAATCATCAAACTTTGTCAGTTGATGCATCTTGGGTTTTCGGATATTGTCGACCAAAAAGTAGGTCACGGTGACCTACTTTTGACATTTTATGGCTATATTTATGTATCTCTAGTACTTATCGATTTAAAATCATCATACTTTGTCAGTTGATGCATCTTGGGTTTTCGGAGAATTTCAACCAAAAAGTAGGTCATGGTAACCTACTTTTGAATATCTTAGGTATTTATTGGCTTAGAATTATCAAACTTGGTCAGCAGATGCATCTTGGGACTCTAAAAAATGTCAACCAAAATGTAGGTCATGATGACCTACTTTCGACATTTTATGGCTATATCTAAGTATTCTCCGGTACTTATTGGCTTAGAATCATCAATCTTTGTCAGTTGATGCATCTTGGGTTTTCGGAGAATGTCGACCAAAAAGTAGGTCATGGTGACCTACTTTTGACATTTTATGGCTATATTTATGTATCTCTAGTACTTATCGATTTAGAATCATCATACTTTATCAGTTGATGCATCTTGGGTTTTCGGAGAATGTTGACCAAAGAGTAGGTCACAGTGACCTACTTTTGAATATCTCAGGTATTTATTGGCTTAGAACTTAGTCAGCAGATGCATCTTGGGACTCTGAAAAATGTCGACTAAAATATAGGTCAGGATGACCTACTTTCGACATTTTATGGCTATATTTAAGTATCTTAGGTATTTATTGGCTTAGAATAGTAAAACTTTGTCAGTTGATGCATTTTGTGTTTTCCAAGAATGTAGACCAAAAAGTAGTCCTAATTGGCTAAGAATCATCAAACTTTGTCAGGTGATGCAACCTGGGTCTTAGGATACTTAGGGTTAGAGGCTTCAAATACAAGTGATAGGTTGTACAATTTATCAGAAGAGCGATTCAAGGCCCTTGGGCCTCTTGTTTTTAAATTTCTAATTATTTTATTTTAATTACTTAAAAGGATTTGTACGAAACAGCTTCAGAAATCATAAGAGATCTCTGTCGATGCACAGATACTAATATAAGGTTCGTTCATAATAATCATAGTGAAACGTAAATGATTGAGATTTTAAACTGTTTTATTTACTGTATGAGAATCATAAATTTCCAAGAAAATAAAATTGCTTGTTTTGGGGGGAAAATATTTAATTTTTTTTTCATTATTACAGATTAAATAGTTATGAGGAGCTAGAGGACTTTTTCAGCAAAGAGGTAAGAACTACAGCATGCTCAAAGAACGTACTTGAAATGCACTTCTAAGTATTGGAGAAAATTTCACATGAAACAAATTATCAAGTTATGTAAGATACTTACATTGTATAAATTTAAAATATAACCTGTTTCAGAAAGAGGGTCCTAAACCAACAAAGAAAGGCTGGAGAAAATACTTCTGCCGTGTTCATGCAACAAAACAACAGGTTCTTGTCAAAAAGATATAATAAAATTCCCTTCCCTTGCATAGGGCGTCTATAGAGAGTTCTTAGGTGCGCGGAAAAGAGGGGGGGGGGGGGTCTCATAGTTTCCGATTTCCTCTACATTCTACATTAAGTTTAAGAGTTCGTACCAATTTAAAGATTTAAAGTTGTTTCTTGGAAAAGGGGTGTCATTTTTGGCGATTTCACTACATATAAGAATGCAATAAATGACAATTTAAAAGCCCCTCCCCCCCCCCCCCCCGGGAGGGGGGTAGTATTATAATTCCACCCCCTTCTCCGCATCTTCCTAGACCTGATTTAACCTTTTCTTATTTATCAATGACGGTTTTGTTATGAATATAGTTTAACTTAATGCATTTTTGTATGTAATATCCATTCTTTTCATCGAAATCTCAGATACAAGTGGATCTATGTTGTAAATAAATAAAATGATTAAAAAATAACGGTCAGATTTTTGTTTCATCTCTTTACAAAGCTTCATATTTCTATTTCAGCAAAAGAAGAAAAAGTCGGGATTGCTTATTCGTCTTCGTCGGTTATTCAGGCGACCCTAATGCTAATATAATGATTAATTTTCCACGTAATTAAAGACAATTATTTATATTTTCGTTTGTCCAGAAGTTACATTTATTACTGATTCAAATTCTGAATCATCATACAAATGATGAAAAAAATGTGCCAAAATATCTATTAAATAATTTGGTTTCAATAAAAAGTTTAAAATATTACCATTCACCCATTGGTTGACTTTTTTTTATTTCAACTTCACAATTGCAAATACATCTTTATGGTCGACTGTGTGGCGCAGTGCATGGTTAGAGCGTTTATTCAAGAGTTGCGGAATAAGGGGATGCTGCTTTTTTTAGCGGTTCTGAATTCCACGGTGGGACGTGTAGACCGGTACTTCGGGTGAGATCCATTTTTGTCTCGGTATGAGTGAACATTTGGCGAAAGCTAGGGGTGTTAAAGAAACAAACAATTACATATTGATTAGATGTCATTTTACATATAAACATACTTATCCCATGTTAACACTGTTATCCAAAATACAGATGTTAAATTCAACCCAAAAACATGCATCTTCGCAAGCTAAAGGTTTTTGATATATGGTCAGCAAAGCGGTCAAAACTTTTGGCTAACGAATTACACTGTAAGATACCCAAATGTATTTTTAAAATATTTCCGAATACTCGATATAGACATTAATCATGTTAAACTAAATATTTATTTACATTGTATTTCATTAAAAATGTCTTTCGACTGACTGACATAACATGATTTTAACAAAATCTTTCCAAATATTGTCTGGGTGTTCAACATTCTCTCTCTCTCTCTCTCTCTCTCTCTCTCTCTCTCTCTCTCTCTCTCTCTCTCTCTCTCTCTGAGTGTTTATGTGTTATTTTAAAAATTAATCCACCTATCCGGAAAAACCTGCGCTAACGTGACGTCACAATGAGGCTACAGAGACGTAAGTAAAACTAATCCACCTATGTGACATCACAGTTCAAAAAACGTCATAATGGGAGAAACGTCATCATAAACGTTGCAGCTATAGCAACATAATTTTCAGTGAAAAGTCAAACTGAATGAAGATGGCGGCAAATTCACTCGAGGTAGATAATTATTTTATATTTTTAATTCTTTTTATGAATCTTTTGGAAATTCTTAGGTTTTGATTTAGCTAATTGTTACCATGAAATGCAAGGAACAAACATCAAGCAGGATTCAGTTGAGGGGGCTTGTTTGTACTAAACAGGGAATTTTTAACAATTTTTAACAATGGCATCTTTTTTTTCTGACTAAATTACTATTTGATTTAATATTACATGTACTTTTTAAGAGTATATACTGTATATATGTACAACGGAGACAGAAGTGGGACTTGTAGCAGATCGATTAGGGGAATCAAGAACATGTAAATATAAGGAATAACTGTCAGATTTATTTTTTATTTCATGACGGTGGTCAATCATTTGGCTTTACGTTGTTTATGCAAATTACCACACAAGCCACTCGATTGATCACATCATGAAATAAAAAAAAAATAGACAGTTATTCCTTAAATTCAATGCACGGTGTGGACATGTGGATGACATTTTAAGAACATCATATATATTATGTAACCAGTTACAGGTACTGTGCTAAATTTTGACTACGCCAATGTAAATCTATAGTATACCTACATATAAAACATTTTAACAATTGTTTCCAGTTGAGGGTCTTGCTTAGATCCCTGAATAAAGTTTTCAACTCTATGACTCTAAGGCAGTGTACATTCCTGCATCAAATGTGAGTAAAGAAAATCCGTTTTGTACAAGAAATATATTTCATGTTAAATCAAGCTAGTACATATAAATATGCTAGTAGCCTTTTTAAGTCATTCAAATATTTTAAGTTCCACATTTTAATGAATAAATTATTCAAATTATATAGAAAGAAAGATCCTTGCTATTGTAGTCAATTATGAAAAAAATAAAAATTTAAATATCTACCATACATTGTTGATAAATTATAAAATCTATTTTTTATTTATTTATTTATTTTCTTTATGTATTTCTATTCTTATTCAGCTTTACCAAAGAACAAGCCGATGAATGTCTTGCTTCTTTCATGGAGAGTTTTTTTGAAAATGACAAGTTTAAAGGTCTACTCGAGAAATCCGCAGATAAAAGCAAGGAAGCTCAGGAGGTATAGGATACCTTAATTTCGTGTTGAACTATATATATATATGTAAATTTACGACTTGATTTCAGTTAAGTGTGCAGTTTTGCATTACGTCACAACCTATTCATGATGACAGCTGCACTCGAGTTAAATAGTACACACCTCCTATACTATAGACATTAATTAATTATACTTTTACCTACATAATAGAGAGGTTGAGATCTTAAACTTGTACGCGTACGTGTACTTGTAGAAATTTTGACGTACACGTACACGTTATTTTTAATTTGTCTGTTGAGATTTTTATGACTTGTAACATGTACGTGTACACTGCGATCGGTATCTCTGTTTCAACTATTTAGAAAGTTTTTAGTCGTCAGTTTGTAAACAAAACTTGATAAAAATAAGTGCTCGTGAAAGTAAACATCATATATAATGTATAACAATAACATTTTCACACTTAAATTGGCTTATTTTTATTATTAAAGCTACACGTTTTCACTTACGTGTAGATTCCATTCTACAAGTTTTACGAACGTGTAGCAATTTTGACGTCACTTAAACTGATGACGCAATACACACAGAATTTAGGTTATTCCCCTACTAGGCGCACCCGCGTACACGTACACGTTTGAAATCTCAACCTCTCTATTGTGGACGTTATGGACGACTTTGTTCCTTTATAAACGTATTTCGTTAAATCTGTTTATTAGCCAGTGGAAATCAATATAATTTATCTCCGCTGTAAGCATCAGTTACTAGTAATTATAATCGAGTTCGCTATAAACGTGTTTTACTGTTTATTTTTTGTTTATTTACATGTACATTTATATCCGACAGTTGTTGTACAAAACCGCAGAGGAAAACATGAGGAATTTGATCAATCGGGCACTTGCTAGAAACGTTAGAATACAAAAGTAAGTACCGGTATATAATGATAATTATGTTATTTCCAAAATGAAGTTTTATTTTTCACACTTAGACTTTTCTAATTGCTTGTATTGCAGATTTTTTTTTATTTTGAAAATAACCCCAGTTTGAAAATTTCAACTTGCAGCTTAGGCGTTCGAAGCAAATTGAAAGTGGGATGGCTATTTGAAAGGGGGAGGGGGGCTAACCCAACAAAAAAGGGAAATTCCAATTTTCATGCCTATATTATGCATGTTTATCTTTGCAAAAAGGGGGGGCTAAGCTCCCTCTAGCCCCCCTCCCCCTTTTCCGACGCCTATGTGCGGGAATATTTCAAATGGATTTTTCGTAAACTAGGGTTTTTTGTTGATTTTATATTTGATGTGTTTGATTTCCTAACGCTGGCAACAGAACTGAACACCAGCTAGTATGCGAAAGTTTCTTTTTTTTCATTTTGAGATATACATGTAAGTGATAAATGCCTTAATGTGCAGGGGAGTGTGACAATCATACACGTTAAAAACTTGTTATAAATTTCAAAATAGAAAGAACTAGAGTATGTTTTAAAATTATATTTTTCTGAAAACACTCTTTCTTTTGGCATGGGCTCATCTACCGAAACTATGATAGCCTTTTCACACCTGAGAACGCCACGCCTTACTGAAGGTCCAAAACAGAGAATTGTACTAGCTATTCTTTTCTCTATAGTGAATTCAGACGACAGTTCATAGTCCAGCATCCATTGTCTCAACAACTCACGGCAGAGCAGGACGCACAAACCACAGCCAAAGTTAAACAGCGTCAAGCAGAGAAACTGGACTTGCAACAGGTATATATTTCTAAGGCCATACCAATTTAATTTTTGCTGCTCCTAGAAGCTTTACAAAATACCCGGTAATTTTTATTTTTATTTTCCGCACCAAGGAAATTCTGTGCTAGTTTCTGTTCTATTTCCGCTTCATTTATTTTTTTTTTTTAATTTTTGGTTATGCTCTTTAAAAATTACAATTGAAAATTAAATACCAAATATATTCTTTAAAATAATTCTTTTATTCTTTTTTAATTACTTTAAAGGCTTTGAGCAACACAGCTTCAGAAACCGTTGAAGATCTGTTCCAAAGTGCCGCTAACAATTATGCAAGGTTTGCTATAACTAAGGACATGCAACTAAATGAGATTTGGATATGCTTTTTTTTATGTTTATACAGAATTATTCTAATATACTTGGTTAAAAGTGAAAAATGATTCCTTTTATTGCAGATCAAACAGTGGTGAGCAAAGAACGGAGTTGGTCAATGAAAAGGTACGAATCTGTTACAATTTTTTAAAGAAAATGTCATGCTTATTAGAAAAATGACTTTAAATCTGTAAGATGGAGGGCTGTTAATTCCAAGCTTATTTTGTACAGTGAAGTATATCAGTATATCGCAGTATACATCTTAATATTTCCATTTCTAATTTTTTATCTCTGTGATAACTGTTTGAAAGTTGGGGGAATTTATTTCTTGATAATTCTGCCCGAATGTAAATTAGGCAGGTCGATAGGTAAGCAGCTAAGGATGCTTAAGGTAAATTCCACCCTCCTATGATGTCATAGGTTTTTGCAAAAACTGTAATTAGTTTAAATTCATACCTTATAGAAAAATTCTCTTGGAAGAATGCTTTACAATAGGTGTAATGATAAATATTGTTTAGTTAAAGAATTTAATAAATGCATATTTTCTATATTTAATTAATTATTCAATCTTTAAAAAATGTTGAAAAGGGCAATAACTCCTTCTAAGGTCTCTTCATTCAGGCATTTGCTTTACTGTAAAATAGTTTCCCTGATATTCACAATTCAAAAGTATCTTTTAAGTAGGAAGTATTTAGGAACACTCAGCATCAGAATTATGCATTTTAACCAGTCTTTACATATTTTTCTCAATACTGTTTACAAAAAATGTACAATGTTTTATGCTGACATACACTTCTGTTTATTTATGTTTCGCATCTTAAATAATATGCCTAATATGGTGACCTGTACTTTTTTTGCAATAAATGGAAAGTTTAAAGTATATTAAATGAAAATAAATGCAGTTTTTGTACTTTGAACCTATAAAATTATGAGGATGGAAACTCCTTAATACGCATGCAATTCTCGTGCGCCTCTGTCTCTGTGTCTCACGATAAGGAGGCCAAATATGCATGTAAATCTCGTACTGCTGCCTTTGTGTTTGACGTCAGTGTGCGAGGACTATTAAATAGGCATGGAAGTCCTCGTGTAATTTAAATCTATTAGTCTATATTTTTAACGTCTAAGTCTACAATTTTATTTCACAATGAAATGGAAATATAAGGAATCACTGTCTAGTTTTGAGAGTATGCCAGGGACATCAACAATAGTGGGAAACATGGGATAATTTTAGCATAACGGGCTTCCTTAATTAATACATGTACAATACACATCATTAATCCACAGTTGTGTTGCCCCCTCCCCGCTTAAAAAGAACTTATTCTGGAATTGCCATCGTTATTTTGTGACTTGACAACCCCTCCCCCCCCCCCCCCCCCAAAAAAAAAGGGGGGGATTGCTGAAAGGCACCTTGATAGATTTATCTATATGTTTTTCAGAAAGAATCATCATTAAGGAGAAGTTGGAGAAAATTTTTCCGCCGTGTTGATGGAACAAATGAACAGGTATCGATGTTATTTATAATTTCATTAATTTTATTTTATCCATTTCGATATCTAAAATAATAGGCTGGCAATTCTATATCCTGTTGTGAGAAAAAGAATTCTTACTGCTATTGTGAATATTTTCACAGATTTTTTTTCTCTTCATTATCTGATTATTTAAATTCATTGCATATACAGTTGGTTTGCCGATAGAAAAATTGAAGTGAATAATCCTTAATGCTCTTTGTACTAAACATTTTCTTGGCATTTTTTCCTCTTCATTTCAGCAAAAGAAAGACAAGCCAGGATTGTTTTCACGACTGCGCCGCTCATTAAACCTTCGTTAATGTCCTACTTTCATGAATTAATTATTTGATATAAAATAGTATTAATGTATTTATTAAGTCGTATAGAAGAAATATATTATACTACAAGTACATAATATGCTTTTTCAATAAACTTTGAAAGGCATTCAAACATTGTTGGTTGTCACTATGTACTTCTTAGCGCGTGTGAATCACAGGTACTTGTGGACAGGACCCCCCCCCCCCATTTTTTTTGTTGAGCGATTATTTTTGGGTTTTGATGATTTATTCCAATTGCAAACATGTTGAATAAGTGTAATAAATATAAATTGTGAAAAAAACTGTCAAATAAGCCCCGGGGTTTAATATCGGGGGGTGGGGTGGGGGTCCTGTCCACAAGTACCTGTGGTGTGAATGCATGTGAATATGCATATTTACAGCTAGGACTTAGCTCACTTGAGCCAATGGTTGGCTTTTCTGATCACCTGTCGTCCATCTGTGTGCCTGTCTGTCTGTCCATCCTTAAAATTTGAATTCTCGACTTGTTCTCAGGATTTAAAAATAACTTAACTAGCGTACAACAAAGTTAGATAAATTTTTTAATTGTTTTGCTTTTCGATTCCTAAATGAAAGGGATAAATGTTTTGTTTCGCATGGGAGTGTATCAATCAAACACGTTCAAAATTCGATATGACTTTCAAGATAGAAAGAAGTTCAAGAACACGTTTTTTTTTTTTTTGAAAAAAAAATTTAGAAAAGCTTTCACTTTGGACATGGAGATTTACCGAAACTGTATCCTTTTCCCAATGCTTTCCCAAATGATGCTCCGCAAACTATAGTCTGTTCCCTGTAGTTTGCTTTCCCATAATGCTCAGCAAATTAATCCGAATCATATAAATGTGCAATGGCCATGGGCTTTAAAGATCAATACATCAGATCTAATCAAAATTACTGGTATGTGACTGAGTTTTTAATATTATATAAAATATATCAGGGATGTATAGTTTTCGTACATGTACAATGTGTATGTATGTTGTTGCTTTGTAATGTGAACCAGTCCACTGTGCATTCGAACCCCACTCGGATAGCTAAGTTTCGTTGAAAACTTGTAGATGCACATAAATAGATTTTCCCATATCTAGCGCTTCATAAAAAAACATGCCTGATTTGAATGGGGTCAAGATTAAAAAAAAATACTAGCCTGGGGCCATAAAACTTAGATGAGCTCACTTTTGATCTCAGTCTTACTTTTTTCAAAGAAATTATGGAAGAGACTGAGATCAAAAGTGAGCTCGTCTAAGTTTTATAGCCCCCAGGCCTGGTGATCCTATTAAGTGATTATATTGTATTGTAAATTATGAAAATTATGCATGAAAGAGGAACCATATTCAAGAGGAGTCGCAGTTATAATTATTTTAATTCAGTATGTTATGGTATGCTAATTGAAAACTTAATACTAGTACATTACATGTTTTTCCCTTTACTGACACCAATTTTTCATAAAATAAAAACATATCTTGTGTTTGCAAATTTTAATTAGCTCTTCTTCTACAACATAAAGCAAGCAATCGAACTTGCTTGATGTAAAGCTGTAGTACTGTAAGTCTCAATCCATGCCTTTTCACCTGAATTCAGCTTGACAACGCTCATTCTACTACAGGATTCCGAATCGTTTGATGATCCAGTATCATTGCAATAATTTTTCCCCCTCTTCTGTCCGCCAGCATTCAATAATGTATAAGATACTTTTCCAGGCCAAACAACTGTCGTCCATTCAAATACATAGAGCCCTGTCTTAGGGGCTGTAAATATTCCAGTAGACCCGTCATATCCATGGCCAGCATTTAGAGCTACTTTTCCAAAAATAACTCTGCCAGTAAAGGAATTCCGACTTTTTGTTAAGGAAGCCTCAAAAGCGACAGCACGGTTGACGGATGTATCTGTAAATTTGACAACAAAAAGGCACACGGTTAACTGCTAAAAAATGATATACAGAAAAGGTTTAGTTAAGGATTAAGAATAAGGTTAAAATTAATGAAAGTGCAAGGATGTGTCAATCAAACCCGCCAAAAAATTTCAAGTTTTAATATTTACATTTGCCAATGTCTTTCCTTATACCGGTATGACAATACTAAAAAAATGAAATTCAATTTTCGATGACATGCAGTCGGTCACATGATCAGACTTTCTTGCGTATCGAAAGCAAACTGCACGTGCAATTTGGAAAGCTCCGACTGTGACGTCACATAACGTCGTAGTAACGTTACGTTGCATTTCAAAATCTAAGTCTAAATAATGCCTATTATATGTATACAGTGTATTTGTTTGTAAAATGAATGAAAACGTAAAATATAAATATAAGAAATAAAATATCATTTGTAGAGTTTCATTGTGGTATGACATGAAGTCGGTACGTGATCAAATTTACTATAACGCCCTTGATATGAAATTTTGAAGACCATATTAAGTAAAGATTCGTTTATGTTAAGGTTCATAAACCCTCTGCTCACTCATATGAATGTTGCTTGAACCTTCATGATTTTCCAAAAGAAATGTATTTTATAAGCAAAATACTGCCATTTATAGCATAGCTTGCGGGGCAAAATTGGACAAAAAAGACACTTCAACTTGGCAAATCTATAAAGGAATAATAGACATTTATGTCAATAAGAGTTATCTCTCTTGTCAGAGTATCAATGACCCTTAAATGTGACATTTCATGATTTTTCCTCATTATGTCATCAATTTTTAGCCGGACTTATTGCTCAAAGAGCAATTGCCGGCTTATGTGATCCTGTTCAAGACAGGATGTCAACCCCATAGTCGCCATTTTAAATTTACGTGTAAAAATATATTCCTTACTCTCAACCGCTTTTGAGATAATACAAACGCTAAATAAAGCAACAAGAATAAAACGAAGTTTTATCTAAATAAATAAACATATTTAGTAACCTTTGAAAACTCCTGTCTTAAGTCAAAGAACATAGATCATTAGTGTAAGGATTTTTGATAATCAGTGTTACATTATCTTAGTTCTCTACACATGTATACGAAGAGAAGCAGGAGACAGGGAACCAGACTGGCCTGTTTGTTTATTTTCAGTTGCGGTACCAGATTAATTCTGATTCTGACAAAATCGGACAGTGGTATTAGGATCGAAACTTACTGTAAGTGTCTTATCATTTATATTGATAGTTTTAAATTGATTTTTCATCAGAATTTTAAATTATATATTTTTTTTAGACGGTGGCTATATATAGCCACAGGCTAATGCTGCTGGTCTGGGCTATGAGTGTAAACACATGGGGACCCTAGCGGCGATCTTTGCAGAGTCAAAATAATGAAAGTAGACTTATTTCGATGTTTGAAAATAAAATGTACATATATAGGTTAACGAATACTTTCAAGTTATTACAAAGACATTTCGTTGATGGATACAAAGCCTAATTAATTCCTTATATTTGCCGTTATGAATATTTCTCGTTTTATATGTTAATACAATATAAACGTATGATTCATGTAAGAAATTCTTAATGATTCTACTCTGCAAATGAGCCCGGCTCTCTGTACTTCTGAGTACTTTGATTTTTCTGTGCAACAAACGCGTAATTTTTGAACTTCCTTCGTAATGTCTATACCAGGTTTCTCTAGATTTATTACATGTATTTAGATTTCGGAAATTGGTTGAAATGGGGGGTACGATTGGGGGTAAATTAGGGGTACTACAACCGGCCACAGAGTTTGCCGATTACTTTTAACTTTGCTAATAATTGTTTACACGGCTGACTATCAATACTCATCGAGTCTACTAGTTTATTAATTAGAAATCTAACGGACAAAACAATGTATTCTTCATATATACAAATTATGTCCTAAAGATTTCGATTTTCATGTTGAACGTTTTTGGATATCTGTTTTTAATTCATTTTCAATACATAAAACAAATAAAAATCATTGCTTCTTGGAGAATTTCCCGTTTTACTTTCATTATTCTCGGAATCTAACTTCGTTGACATATCCATGTACAGGCAGGCCTAACATATTCGGATTGCTTCGTAATGGGTTCATATATAATTGGTTAAATCTGTAAACTCAAGTATGTCTTCGAAATTACCGTCAATAACACGGTATAGCGTTGAAACTAGTCATTTTAATCAGTTATTTGTTGTTTTATAGAATAGCGCCTATACAGCAATTGTCTCTGATGACGTCATGAAAAAGAGCGATAACTCTATCGCCCATGTCTATAAATAAAGATATTTGAACAGGTATTTTGCGTTAATATCTGGATTTTTTTTTTTAAACAAACACAACCATAAACATTCATTTAATGCTTTTAATGAATTATAAACATTATTTTTAAGATCTATTTTTACCGTGCTTGACCTTTAAATATCAAATATAGTCATGTATAGGCAACGTTTTTTTGTGTTTAATAAATTCGTAGTTTCCATCTGTTACATATATATGTATTTTTGGTTGATTTGTACGTGTTTATAATACAGTGAAATCACTTATTGTTGGTGGGGGTTAATTTTTGTTGTGTTCGTGATATCGAGCTAGAGGCCCACGAATTTATTACACCAAAAATGTAAAATTTCATATGCATTAATACTACTGAACATTTTCCAGCCACGAAATCAAATCCCCACAAACCAATGCTATCAAATGTACTGTCTATTATCCTTCTTATATATTATATTTATATAATATTTAATAATATCCTTCTTATATATTATATTTCTTCCTCAAGTAAGTACGTAGATTCAAGTTTGATCAAGTCATGTCCCACGGGACAAGGTGGGGGCACCATGCCATGGGGGATAAAACTTGCAGTTTATATAGTGTCCAATCAAGAACAGAAAATCCATGCATTATTAATCATATTGATATAATATGTATAGCATCCTCATGTAACCAAGATTCAAGTTCGTTCAAATCAAAACCCCTGGAAGTGAATTGGTAGATACAATGGGGGATTTTTAACATGAGAATAAACGTAAATATATATATTAGGAAAAAATGTTACGATACCCCCCCCCAAGAACCATAAAATCAGAATAAGTCATTTCAAAATTAATATACATTGGATGCATACTCGGTAAGTGTCGATTCAGGTTTATTTAAGGAGGAATGCCACACCAAATTTTTATTTTATAGATCTGTGAGTCAACCTTTTTAAACATCAATATAATTGTTATACCCCCGCTTGAAAAGCGGGAGGGTATAAAGTAATCATTTATTCCGTCCGTCTGTACGTCTGTCCTTCCGTCCTTCTGTTACGCTTTGGGATACCCATTTCTTACCCGCAACTCCTCCCATACCACTGAATGAAATTTGATGAAACTTTCGCAGAATCTTTATTACAGATTGCAATTGTGCACCTCCTATTTTACTTTTTGATCTGACACATACTTTGGGTTTTCCAGCCACAGCAAAACATGGACTTTGCCATTAAAACTACTAGTATATGGAGGCGGGGGTATCATTTAGTGAGCTCATCGCTCACAGTACATCTAGTTTATACAAAAATCATGTAATTAAATTAGAAACTAAAAATAGAATATACAAAGCCATAAATTAGTTATATTGATATGGAAGCATATATTCATGTGGTATGTATATATACATTTGTTCAAATCTTGATCCCTGGAGGTAGGATGGGCCACACCAAAAGCAGGGAAATATTTACTCAGGTGAGCGTTGTGGTCCACGAGCCTCTTTTTTTAATGTTAATGTCTTTCAACCTTTATAATGAAATGGACGTAATGAAGAAGAATATCGAAGCATTCGTTGTTCTCAAAACGGAGGGGATGAGGGTTAGGGGGTCACCGTCTCATAATTAAAATTTGGCTTGAGCCTGCGGTTTACTACAATGTTTTTTATGATTATATACATCTGATATTTTTATTACATTTAACATAAAACAGTTAATGTATCACTCACTTTTAGAGTCGACTTTACAGTTGGCCTTAACATATCCGACAGCCTTACAGGCATTGATCAAACTCGATATGTCATCCACGATGTCTTTTAATTTCTCACGCTGCAACTTTTTTTCTTTTGCTTGTACAAAACTCACCATCAAAAGGAGATAAACTATCGAGAGTTTCATCCTGCAAAAATAATTATTCTTTTAATCTGATATATTTTTGGAAAAAAATTGTTTGTTTTTTTTTTAAATAGATAAAATAAATTTAAAATAGTTTTAAATTGACATTTTGAAAAAAATCAAACCTTCTTGTCACTACCAACATTCAGAAATTCGAGTTAAAGATGATATATAAATACTTGATTATAAATTTATACTATTTCTTATTAAAAAAAATATGCCAGTGAATATGAAATATGATCTCATGTACGTGCTGCCAAATAAGTATATCGCATGTTTAAATAAATTTGAAACAGATGTGAAAAAATTAGTGGTGATCCAAAATAAAAACCTATAGTTAAACTCCCTAGTCTAGAGAGTAAGTAACTTGTGGACTAAACGTATATTGCATTACCAAGAATTTAAATTTATTTTTTTTTCTACTGAAATTTCAACAGGGAACATTTGCTGCATGTAAAATTTAGTCCCTCCCCTTACCTGAGAAAACCGCACGGTTAAAAATCTCGGCCTTTAAAGCAAATGTTCCCTGTTGAAATTTCAGTAGAAAAAAAAATAAATTTAAATTCTTGGTACTACTTTTATGATGAACAGTAGACCATCAAGCTGTACAGGTAATACCAATGGACTTTCTGTGTATACTGTTTGTGTATGGTGATAAGCGTTTCCAGCGGTCTGCACCACATTTGCTTTCACCATACACAAACAGTATACACAGAAAGTCCATGGGTATTACCTGTACAGCTTGATGGTCTACTGTTCATCATAAAAGTAGTACAATTCGACATCGTAAATAAAAAACATCAATAGTAATTAATGATAATTGTAAAATGTCGTCATTTCAGACTTATATCTACATGTAATATCAAACAAGCAGAAATCTCACAGGCCGACTTTTTGTACCAAAAAAATCTACGGTATGTTGTACGTCACATATACAGCAGTAACGACTTGAGTTCGATGTAAATAAAAATTAATATTCACTATGAAATACAGGTATAATTTCAAAAGTAAAATACTCATCCCTAATTGTCTGTCCCTTTCAAAATCTTAAAAAACTATTCATGATTATCGTTAATATATACAAGTATAGTAACAATTAGAGCTTCGATCACGGTCAAAAAGTAACAGTAACTTGCCATTTGCATAAAAAGTCGCGTGGTCCTATTTTTAGCAAATGTACATTCTGTATCCAATTGTGAAAAATTCGCGATAACGATGTTTTTGTAAAGTTAAATCTACATACAAGTATATGTGTATTTTAAGTTAATTTAGATTATAATTTTAATTAACAAATTAAAACAAAATATTAAATTATTGCTAACATGATTGTGCATTTCTTTCAAAACTATTTTAACACCCGTGACCTTGAACAGGGGTAACAATGCAACCCACGAAGCAAGAAATGTTCGGTTATAAAAAGGAAAAGAAAAGAAATTCTTAATACTTTAATACTTGTCCAGACAAACTTATAGATGTTTCTTATATTTTGTTTTCATCCTTAGTTATCCATTACATGCAAAAAGTGTTACCATCTTATTTCTCGTTTATTTTATCGTAATTTTTCACCGCGTCTATAAACAAGAATCATTCTTAATTTTTACGAGTGAAAACAAGATTTCACATATGCAATTTTCATTAGTAAAAATATACACAATCTTGATTTATTTTATTGAAATACAATGAGACAAAAATTTATTTTTAAATGACTTGTTTGCAATACAGATATTTAATTAATTTTAATCAAACTGAAATAATTTGCATCGAAATGGGTTTATGCAAGCTATTCCCACCGACCAAGTAAATCTGAAGGCGGTGCTTATTATCTCGGGCTTTAACGCAAAAAAAAAGGATCGAGCGGGTCCGGGGTATTTTACCAACTAAGGTGACGACCGTTTGACTCTGCGGGGGCGCGGGCTGCATGGCAAAATGTAAAGAAAAAGATCCCCCCCCCCACCGACAAATAAAATACTAGTACTGGAAATGAATTATACATCCCAGACTGGAAAGAAAATAAATAATATGCACTTTTCTAGTGTTGCTCTCCCTCCAGAAATAGAGTTTAGGAATTAGCTATAGGGCATTTTCTTTTTTTGGGGGGGGGGGGGGGGGGGGGGGCATTTTTTCAATAAAGATGAAAAAGATCGAATTAACTGTCCATCTGGAATGAAAATAAATAATCTGACTCAAACAAAAAAAAATGTCACTTCTCCCCTTCAGAATCACATTGTCGTACACGAAGCAGTTGAAAAGAAAGAAGGGTTACAGATGTGCCCCTAAATATCTTCAATGATCCAATCATTTTCGCCGCTCGATTAGGACTTCAATGTGCCCTTTCCTCCGATCTGGCCTACCTGTTCAATCGTTTTAAAGATAAATCAAGGAATAAAGTTACTAACGTTATTCATTCCAATGCCCTTTTCATCATGTTTAAAAATAAAGCTTACATGTGAAACTTTTTTCCTCAAGCATAGAAATTTCAAATTTGAAATATTTAATACATGTATTTAGAAGATCTTCGATTTCTATGAGCATTGCACATGGTACAGAAAATAGATCGGGTTCGATATTTCGGCAACACTTTGCGCCAATTTTGAAAGACCAATCAAAAGCTTTGTTTGGAACCGCGTGTGGTAAAGTGTCAACATGTAGGAAGAGGGATGCTGAGTCAGCTCCTTAGGTATCCCAGGCTTTTGTCCAAAAGAGATATATTTGTATACGAGCATATTGTGATTAATTTAGATTATCTAATCAGTATTTCTGTACGTACATGTAAGAATCAATATGCAACAGCATGCAGCTTCTGAGCCCCCCTCCCTATTCTCATGAAATGTGTGCAGGTCCACAATATTTGTACATGGGCATTCTGGGTCTCGGCGTTGCAATGTCCTTGTTGTGCACAAGAGTTCACATTTTTATCAATAACTCGATTGATTAAGCCATGATCGAGCTAATTGCTTAAACATAATCGACATATATACCACTGGGGGATTTTGAGGGGGCTCAGCCCCCATCCAAAATACTTATAAGATTTAATAAGTAAAATTTTTGTGTTAATGTGGGCTCATACAGTGCCCCCAAACTGGTTGGCCCTCACCTCCCCCTTTTCAAGATTCCAGGATCCACCACTGAATACATTGAATTTGTCTTTGTTTATTTTGTTGTTCAACAAAATTAAATTCCACACAAATTTTTATATGAGAAAGTATATAGAGTTACTAAATTCAAAACAACGAAATTAAATGCCCATGAAACTATTAAAGATGACAAATCAACAAAATTTTATTAATATCCCCACGAAAATTTGTTCTTCAGTTCTAAAGTATATTGTGCCAACTTTGTGCAATGTTGTGTCATGAAACATATATTGCTTAAAAATGTTATTTTTTTTCTTGTATTTAAATTTTAAAAATTATTTTTGTATGTGATATACAGAAAAAATTTGCACTTTCAAGTCAGACTTTCTTATGAAAAGCAACATTACGCACCTACATATTTGACCGTGATGACGTCACAGTTATCACCTTCCAATTATTGGCCTGTCATTGAAAAATGAAATAGTTCAATGTCAATTTTTAAAGTTGTATTGTCATATTGGTAAATGTAATTTAATATTTATCATGTTTATTGCTATAATTAAAGTAACAAGTCTCTCTTTGCCTTATTTGGCATAGCAAGAGCCCACACTTGAATCATCCCTCTTCCCATATGTTAATGTAACAAATACTGCAGGCAACAATTAAGTGGTAACAGCTGGGCACAGACCCACTGTAAAATATTGATGTTTTATAAAGAATGTCACAACGCACCAGTCAGATAAACACATTTCCTCCTGATAGACCCAATATATTTACTAGTGGGTGATTTCATGACTGGATTGGGTGTTAATAACCCAAAATAGATTAAAACAGTTGTAAAGATACGAATGTTACATTTAACAAAAATCTATTTCTTTAACATTTTGGTTCTGAATCTTTTTTATTTAAAGTTGTTCATCATATATATTAAACTAAATATGTCCATAAATGGGAGTTGGATTACACTTATGCAATCAAAACCAATTTTACAATTGGGCAGTCAAGTGAATGAAATTACTATGGAAAACTATTATTATGTTATGCACACTGAAATGAAAGGTCATTGCTTTAAAGTATATATACATGTATATGCAGTAATGTTGCAAACTCCATTTGTATCGTTAGCAGGAGTAGCAGCTTAACTATGCAATTTAAGCATTGATTAATTATATAATTTATGTAAGCTGACTGCATTGTTGAATCATTTCATGATGAAATTAATTGTTGCATATGTAACACACTTATGGGATTGTCCATTGTCCATAAATAATTTTGCATTTTTATTGTAGAAAGTTGTTTGGAATATGACTATAGAGCTTCGTCTACAAGAATAGTGTTATAATAAAGATATTCAAGGTGAGAGTTTAAAATTGATAAAAATTTTAAGTTGTTCATGTATCAAATTATTTTATGGCAGAGTAAAAAGCAAAGATATACACTTGACCCAATTCATAATTGTTTTCTCTCAAAACTATAATACTACTCATTTTTTCCATCTAGAATGCTTAAAGGGTTAAATTGAACTGAACCAAATTTAGCTGCAAGGCTATCTTTTCATCATTACATGTAGGTGACAGTATTTTTCTCAGTTTAATTTATGATCAAATGATGGTTCATTTTTTAAAATTTTATCTTATTATCATAGCACCAGTTTAATTTCCATATTCCCAAAATTGTGTACAGTGACATATTAGCCTGGTTGAATAGAATACGTCTAGACGTACATACTTCTTTATATGGTTTTATTTGACACAAATTAAGTCATAGTTTGATTAATTTTGTTGTGTTTTTGTGAATTGCTGTACCTTTTTTTCAGATTGTACAAAGGACCAAATTTCAGTAGCCCTATACGTGACCTCTGGCACTCCTACTTTACTACAAGACGTGTAAACATTTTAGTGTTAATTGTTCCATTTACAACCAACTGTTGCCATTAAAAAATTTCGTCCTTAAAGATCAAAACTTTTGAATTGTTGTAAGGGTAGCAGCAATCCAGTTAATAGTAAATTAAATGTAAAATGGGGGGAAAAAATGGTTTGTTGATGTACATGTATATAACCCTAAAGTTGTTACACAAGTAGAATACAATAGGCATGTAAATTTAGATAAAACTTGATCAATTTTTGATTCTGTTAAATGGTTTTGTCATAAGTTGCAAAAACAATTCTTTCAACATCAAAAACTTCTCAATATTCTTCAACATTCATACTGTCAGATTTTAATAGGTAGACTTTACTTACTGACGATAAATATACTAAATTTTGTTTACGACAGACTTTGTTGCCATGGGTACTAAAATAAAATTTCTTTTTCCTTATTTATTTTTTCTAAATGCCACTTCCCAATGATTTATTTTAAAATAAATTGCCAAAAAAAAAAAAAGAAAATTCAATAAAGTGCAGATTATATTGCCAATCTATTTCTTTTGAAAGGTCAGAAAAATTTATGGAAAAGGATGTAGATTAAAATGTTTATTTTAAAAGCCTTTGAAGATTGTATTGATGTTGAAAAGAACAACATGTTTACAGGTGAAAGCAGTAAGTTTCTGAGGAAATGACATGATTGGTTGAAATTAGAATTTTGATTATGTGTACATATTTATGCGGATATTGCATATCCTTGTTGTAATGAAATTGGATGATTTTAATTCTTCATATAAAAAATCTTTGCAAATATAGGAAAAAAGGACAGCATGAGAAAAATAAAAAATGTCAAATATAGATATCCTTGATTAACAAATATGGACTCTTTGAATGTTTAGATTTACCAGTCCTTACAATACAAATGTGCATGTATTTAATTTAGTAATTATGGGAAGATGGAAGAGGAGTGCATTGTGGGTGGGTGGGGCAGGAATTTAATTGGTGACTATATGGATGTTAGTTTATTGGTTTTGAAAAAGTTAACATGATTAATGAAATTTATATTTTTGTAACTTATTTGTTAAAATAAGTAGTAAATGGATTTACATATTAGAAATGGTCAGAACAGGTTAAGGTAATTAAAGTACAAAGTGTTATCATGTCTGTGACATATGAAATCAGTTTTGAAGTAGATACAGGTCTGTAACCGATAAATCAAATTATTGGAACTTGTCTTGTGTTACACATCTATGTGCATCAATGAATAAATCTGTAATTATCACGAAAATAAATCTTGCATTTAGTAAGCTTGAACAGAAATTCTGACAGCTAGACTAGAAATTGTGCTATTGAATTTAAATGCCTATACGGTCTGTATAAGCTCCACCTACACTTACAAACCAATATCTGCTTAAGGACATGTCCTTTTATATTTAATTCTTTTTAGTGTCACTGTTTTTGACAGTGATGAAAATAAAAAGAAGAGATTACCCTTGTAGATTAGTTGAGGTGATCTCCCCTTGAAGGTGTTTTTATGGGAGATTACGAGAAAGGAATTTTGCAAGTGCAGGTTTATTGTGTTTTTGATCTACTTGTTGTGTTATGGTCACTCAAGTAGAACGTACAATTGATATGTTGTCAATTGTTGGATAATTAATATATTGAATTCATCTTGGATTTTATTTTTCAGGTTTAAAGGGATATGGATGGATCTTGTGTTTGCAGGGTTTGAGGATAGGGGTACCTGTGTAACTTCAATCTTCTGCATGCAGGTATACTTGCTCATACCTTTAATTTTATTTAATTAAAAAAAAATGTTTTGGGGTTTTAATTAACACCTGTATAATTTATTTCATTTTACTTAAAATTCAGTGCATTGCCATGCATTAAATTCAAAGTATGTTATTTAAGAATCAGTGGATGAAATTGATTCATAGCAATGTTCCCTATATTAACCTGTTAATAAGGCATGAATTCTTAGTTTGATTTACCTAGTACATACAAAAAGTCATTTAGTTTCAGTGTACGTATTTCAGATCTGCATCATATAACACCTTTGATAATTAAGGTTCCATAAATGCATGTGTGTATCCTGTTTTTAAAATCAGTTGACTTACTTTAGTAAATGAAAGAAGCTGTTTATCAGTGTTGTGCTTCAATGAATTTGTAAATGTATATCATGTATATGATTTAGGTCTTTAATGCAGAACCTTTGAGTAGATTAATGTAAAAGCCAATCTTAACTTTATATAAGCACAAGATAATTCTTACATGTATTGCACATTCCAAATATGCCTGATAAGTTAATAACAGAACAGATGAAGTCTATATTAGATGGAGTATTTAAAGGTAAACCCAGGAACTATACAAGTTTAAGATTAAATTTCTTGATAGGCACCCCCCTATTGATGGTTTTTCCCCTGATTTTGCAGGTAACTACTTCGGGTCACTGGACAGGTGTGACAATACAGGCTATTTTTAGATACAGTCTATCCATTGAAAAAATCCCACCTGTTTACTTATAAGGTTGGTGTGTATATACCTGTTCTCAAAGGGATTTCTTGTCTGTGAAGTCCTGTCATGGATGTTTGCATGACAGATTTTGTGAGGGGAGAAATATTGCAAAATTTGTATTATAAAAGTTGAATCTATTTCTTGACAATAGGGATACAATTTCATAAGTGAAAAGGAGTTTAAAGTGTGTCAAACTGCTTGCGTGGCCTAATTGGTTTAAATTTTTCTGTGGTGGGAGAAAGTTTGGACTGGTGAATTCTGTTTGCTTTTTGAGGTAAGAACATACATTTTGAGTTTATAAAATGATTTGTTTATGCTAGTTTTATTGATAGGAATTTGTATGCCATTTCCTTTACATCTTTATGTTTGTTTTTATCTGTATTCATCTCTACAGTTTTGTGCTTATGTGGTTTTGTTCAGATTGCGCAACTCTGCTGTATTATAAAATTTATCATTGTGTTGATTGTTGACTCATGTTTTTAATGCAAATTGTTAGGGCATTGTTTTCTTATGGAATTTTCTATGAAATTTTTTCCCCCGCCACAGCATGACAAGGAGCATATGGTGGGTGTGACTGGTGGACAGGGGATGCTTACTCCTCCATGGCACCTGATCTCTTGTGATGTTTTTAGAGGCTCTGTTTTCACTTCGTGCTGTTCATGGACCAATGGATTTTTTAGCTTCAATACTGACAGTAGCTTCAACTTGTAAAAATAGATCATGCAGTTTTCAGAGTTCTTTGACTAATTAAAAAAATTGTATGATGTTGCTAGTACATAGCTCAGTATCATGCAGTGTTGTCACTAATTTTCAGCGTAATCTTGTTAATCTTTAGGTTACTGGGACACAAGTTAATTAAATAAGTCATTGACACATCAGAGGTGATTATAATTCAGGTCCCCCACATCTAGATACATTTTTTGTACCACAGCCCATCCGATACTTAAGTTCATCTGTTACAGTAGTGGAAAATGTGTATCGATACACAGTGACCCACAGGCGATATACACAACAGGTGGTGACACATTGTAGAATGCGATAACATCTGAAAAAGTCTGACTTCAGATCTACAGGACAGAAAATGTATTGATCTGTGTATAATTCTGTCCCAAGACATGAGGTGAAAAAACTTTTCAACCTGTAAAACAAAATTACCTTGGCTTAAGTGGTGTAACATGTGTAAAGTGCAGTTTGATGCACAGTTTTTGAGGGTGGTGCAGTGCTTTAGAGGTATGTGTTTACGTTTGTATACTAGATCACCTGTTCACCTGTAGATAAGGTAATATGAGGATTTTCTAGTGTATATATGCATTCACTTACTCTGGTGGTATGACTCCAAATGACATTATACATGTAATATGTGCAGAACGTATTTTTGAATTTATTTGAATTTAAAGCATTGTTATCTTATGGAAATTGAGGTGAAATTCCAATCAAATGTCATTTAAAATGTCAGTGCCCTTTTTTGAATTGCACAATAAGCATGATAAGTGCCAAGTAAACTGAAAGGGTGGAATTTAAAAGCACATCACAACAGGATGGGTGGAATTGAATTCCTTGAAGGTAGAGAAATTTGGATTAAATGCTTCAGTCTTTAAAACAGAATAACTCGCAGGATTATAAGTGATTTGTGATTGTATTATTATACAATAGTTATTGGATTATGCATAACCTTTAATTGTTCATGTTAATATAAATCAGATAATGAATTTAGTAAATGTACTTAATATCATTATTATGTAATTCACAAGGCGTACATGTACCCACACCTTATTAAACGAGGCTTGTTTTATTTGATCAGTTAATTAAAGTGATGTGTGTTGTTGTGAATAACAGAGAGCATGTAAATTCAAGTGGAAAGTTCTAAACTTAATTTACATGACACTTGATCCCAAATCTCTGATTTTGGTCTGTTTACAAAGGTACATGTATTACATGCTTTTATCAATTATGGACAGAGGTTATTCATGTTTATGAAATGTGTAAACTCTGGAGAAAGTAAAAGTATAATATTTATTTTTGTTTTATATTTTTCAGGAACACTGTCCAATGTCACTTGGTGACCAAACCCTAGCTTCTGATTTCGACTTGAGAAACTTGTGGTCCCTGTGTTAACCCTTTCCCTACAAGAACAACTTGACTTTTCGTCTCACTGGATAGTTATAAACTTTTCAAAGGATGTAGTAACACAGATTCTGATTGGCTGGAATCCCTGAAGGGGGTTGATTTTCCTCCAATCATGGAGGAGCTACTAAATTTGGACAATCTGTCCCAGGAGGAGAAGGACACGATCCTCGGAGTCCTCCAGAAGGACGAGATGGTCCGCAAAACCGAGGACAAAAAAATCTGGTGCGTATCTCTAGAGCTTACTGTTTGTATGTATTCCAATCTAATCAAAATTAGATGTTACAGTTAGATCCGTCACATACTCGCTACACTAACATCTAACAACATCCCATAGAGGGTCATGTCAGAGATCAAATTTGGAACACCTCTAGACTTATTCGCTTCAATAAAATTACATTAGATGTTAGTGTAGCGAGTATTCGAGCGGATCTAATATCTAATTTTAATTAGATTGCATGTATTCATGAAACAGATTTTTGCGTGGATGTGCACTGTAAAATATATCTGGTCAGTGGATGAATTTCTGTGGAGATTGAAACCATATATGTTTAAACAGAGTTCTCACCCATGCATACCTTCAGAAAAGTTAACAATGTTGTTTTTCGATTATACTTTTACAGATTCTATGAAATTAATACTGACATTGAGAAGAATTTCAGCAGTTTCTATCTCAAACATGTATGTAAATCATAAAAACTTGGTGTGTTAATGAAATGTTGCCAGTATTAGAAAAGGGGGAGGGGGGGTTTCCAAATGGAGGGAGGAGGAGCTTTGCAAAAAGTAGTCCATCAGTTGTATACATGTGACAATGATCTGTTTAATTTTATATGGTTGTTTAGAGCTGTTTAAACAATACTGTTGAATGTAGTATTGTATTCAAATCAACTGTATTCATCAAATGTGCATCCGTTGTGGAGAGGGCTTATATAGGCTATGCCTGCTGCCGAATCCGTTTATGTAATTCTTACGAAATGAAATATGTTCAAATGATCAAATCAAATGTGCATAAAATGATGTTCATATACACTCTCAGAATCAACATCATGAATTTGGTGGTGAGAAAAAACGGGGGTGGTGGGTGGGAGTTACAATGATCAATTAAAAATGCAGCATTAAGGCCATAATAAAAATATTCCTAGATGTTCCCCCGCCTCGATTTTTTTTATTTCTGTTTTTCTTCGTCTTATCTGTCAGAATCTTCATTCTACTTTCGAATTGATGTTGACAACTGAAAAGATGGTAATTGCTGTAATGCATGCGTATATATTTTAAACAAGGGTCATTGGTTGAAAAAGATTGGTGATAATGTGAAGTAAGAGATATTGAACCTTTACTATGACTTTTAATTGTAATAAAATTAAATTGACCAGGTCAATAAAAAATCAAAATTGAAAAAAATAAAAAATGTAAAATAAAAGCCGCATCTTTTTAAAAAAATTTAAAAGTTTATTTATTATGGCCTTTTTTTTTTTCAAAAAGTTGTTTGTCTTAAAAATCGAAGCTCATTTTTTGGTTATTAACCAATAGGATATTAGTAGGTGACTTTATAGTGTAGGTAGAAACATCTGTGTCGTAATGGATGTCACAGCCGATACACATACAAGTGTTTGTGTTAATGGATTCAGTGATGGGTTAAAATGCCTCAAATCTTGTATAATTTCTGTGATGAGGAATTGCAACATTAAATGTTGTGTTTGAATGTGGAAATGGGATGGATGTGGGGGTGGGAGGGGATGCAACTTTATCAGCTAGATAATTAATATACATATTAAGTCTTAGATTTAATCATTAAATGATTAAAAAATCAATGTTTTAATCAATTAAGAGATTTGAATTAAATAAGCAATATTATAAGTTACATTCCTGGAAATTTAAGTCAATATATAAATATGATTTGGACACCAGGGTTTCTTTGCCATCTAAATTTACTTAGATTAATCATATTAAATATTGTATACTGGAGTACAGACTTTAATTGAAATAATTTCAAATCAAAAACCATGAAAACAGAAGAAAAAAAATATGAAAATACTTGACAGACTATATATCAACCAAAAAATATTTCACAGTGTATAATGGTAAACAGTTTGTCCTTAGGCTTTCTAGGGTTTGAAAACAAATTTGTTATCATTGCCTGTAGAAAAATTCTTGTGTGGCAATTTTAGGATTAAATATGCACTTTTCACCCATTTTTCAAACAGGTAGATTTAAGCTTTAAGTTTTTAAACATTATACACACTGATACATGCTGTGTCCTTCACACCTTAAGGACTTTTACATGCACTCGCTTGAAAGCACTGTCACAAACCTTGAACTTTTTTACTAGGGGTACGACGTGGCACATAATGCATCCATCCGAATCTGATTCATTTTAAACACCAAACTTTAAGTTGTTGAAATATTTACTCGTGATACCAAAATTTTAGAATTTCTCGAGGTAAAGATGAAAGACAATGAAAGTTGTTGCAGCTCAGAAAATAAAATTTAAAGTACGGAATTAATATACTTATAATGTAGTAAATTTTAATATACATATTGTTTTTATATGCTTAACTCGTTAACTGTCCTGTGCATGCATAATTTCTTTTATGATCATTGATGGATCATGACTGTTATTTCACAGGTTATTGACTAAATATGAGAAAATATGCCCAACTAATCAAGGTCTTTGCTAGGTAAAACAAACTAAAGTTTCAAGGTTATAAAACCATTGGCATGCAGGCATATTATTTCCAGGGTCCATGGCTGTAAATCATGATCTCACTTTTGATCTCAGTCTTACTGTTACTTTTCCACCATGTCCACTATATATTTCTTTAATTTGTAAAAATGAGCTCATCAGAGTTTTATGCATCTTTTCATTTCACTTTTTAATGCTAATACATTTTTATCCCATTTGAATAATATGCAAATGTTGGTGATTTTCTTTGTATTTCTGGTCATAAACATGTGCATGTAAGGCCATGCAAAGTTAATTACTTGGTTCTCAGGCCTTTTTTCAAGAAATATGATGAGGGAGGGAGGCATTTTTTTTTCTCTCCCCCAAAACATGATAAGGCAGCTTTTTACATTGTACAAAACCTCAAAAAATGAAAGGTCATTTGTTGTTTTTAGCTCACCTGAGCCGAAGGCTCAAGAAATTCTTTGTTTTTCACATATATCAAGCAACTTTCATCCTTCTTGTAAAAATTTTCGAAAAGAAACTGGCCCAATTTTGACCAAACTTGGTACAAAGCATCCTTGGCTAAAGGGGAATTTAAATTGTTAAAATGGGGACATATCCCCTCGTCAAAAAACAAAAATTTGGGGTCATTAAAAAATCTTCTTCTCAAGAACCACTGGGCCAGTAAAGCTGAAACTTATGTGGAAGCATCCTGGGGTAGTGTAGATTCTAAATTGTTCAAATCATGACCCCCGGGGGAAGGGCGGGGCCACAATGGGGAATCAAAGTTTTATATAGAAATATATAGGAAAAATCTTTGAAAATCTTCTTCTCAAGAACCACTGGGCCAGAAAAGCTGAAACTTATATGGAAGCATTATATAAGATTCTAAATTGTTCAAATCATGACCCCCGGGGGAAGGGCGGGGCCACAATGGGGAATGCAAAGTTTTATATAGAAATATATAGGAAAAATCTTTGAAAATCTTCTTCTCAAGAACCACTGGGCCAGAAAAGCTGAAACTTATGTGGAAGCATCCTGGTATAGTGTAGATTCTAAATTGTTCAAATCATGACCCCCGGGGGAAGGGCGGGGCCACAATGGGGAATGAAAGTTTTATATAGAAATATATAGGAAAAATCTTTGAAAATCTTCTTCTCACCACTGGGCCAGAAAAGCTCTTATGTAATATATAGTGTAAAAATTGTTCAAATATATCCCCAGGGGAAGGGCGGGGCCACAATGGGGAATCAAAGTTTTACATAGAAATATATAGGAAAAATCTTTGAAAATCTTTTTAAAACCACTGGGCCAGAAAAGCTGAAACTTATGTGGAAGCATCCTGGTATAATGTAGATTCTAAATTGTTCAAATAATACAAACAGAGTGTGTATATAAAAAATCTTTGAAAATTTTCTTCTCAAGAACCACTGGGCCAGAAAAAGTGAAGCTTATGTGGAAGCATTCTTTTGGGTAGTGTAAATTTTTGTTAAATTCACCCCCGGGGGAAGGGCGGGGCCATTATAGAAATCAAAGTTTTACATAGAAATATATAAAAAATCTTTGAAAATCTTCTTCTCAGGAACCACTGGGCCAAAAAAGCTGAAACATATGTGCCCATGGAAGGATCATGGGGTAGTGTAGATTTCAAAATGTCTAAATTATGATCAGTGGGGTAGGGTGGGGATGCATTATGTATAACAAGGGTGAAATCTGGTAAAGAACAGAATGGTCAAAGCTTCTCAGGTGAGCGATGTGGCCCATGGGCCTCTTGTTATTTTATTGATTTAGCAATAAAAAGGGTCAATGAGGCACCCTTGGAAGAGACGAGGGAGGACCTGAGAACCAAGAAATTAATTTTTTTTTGCCTAAACATGCTTGCAATATCATTTACTGCCAGTTAGATGGAATATATAGGATCTTCAATATTAATGTATATGAAGAATTGGAGAAACATATACAGGTAAACTTCGTTATCTCGACATCAACGGGACAGTCGGAAAATGTCGAGATATCCGAGGTGTCGAGATATCAGAGTTGAGATTTGATGTCCTTTATTTTACTTCAAAGTAAAACCATAGACATGAACAGACGTACCTACAGGTACCTACATGTCTACATTTAGACTTTAGCTCGTTTGTTTCAGCTATCCCTCTATATTTATTAAAAAATCTAAAAATTTATTCACAAAATTATTTATGAAGTGCTTTCTTTTTTACCGAAATCTTCTCATTTTACTAAAAACCGTTTTCCATCCAGCATTCGAGGTCTGTCAGAACAGGATACGAAATGCACTCTATAAATTCCAAACCGGAACGATAGAAAGTCGACTTCCGAGAAACAGAAAAAATAATGCGTATATTTTTTAAATCATTTCATTTCACTTCTTTTTTTATTTCATTATCATTCATCATTAATTTTTCATTTTATTTTCATACCAAAGTTTCATTGGAATTGTGCATTTAACAAACTCAACGATGTTAAATATGCATCCATATTACGACGGATGCATGTCGTAGATTTGAAATCTGTTGAATGCATTTTTACCACAATTTTTAAATTAGATTGAATTCAATGTGTATATTGTTCATTGTTATTCAGTTACTTTTTTTTTAATAAAATGTTTTAGGTTTTGTTGTATTTCGACATAAATAAACGTGCATTTACGCAGAATCGAGAAGATTTATCAATGATATTACCCAAGCTGAAAATTAAACAATTAACGTATTAGAGACGCCGAGGGGGCTTGGGATTCCTCTACAAACACATTTCTACAGAGCAGTATGTAGTCAAAACATGGGTGTGAAAGGTGTGAATACCTTTTGATACAGTAATTTTATGACAAACAATTAGGTTAATGGAAATGTCACATATACCAGGTAAATTTTGCTCTTGGGACTGTGAATATACGTCGAGATAAGTGAAGTAGTCGACATTACCGAGGTCGACATATCAGAGTTTTTGCAAATCATTTATATAGTAAAAAATGCTTGGACCATAGACGTATGCCAACATATCCCAGGTTGTCGACATATCCGATGTCGAGATACCGAAGTTTACCTGTATTTCTGACATTGCTAATCCACATGTGTACAACAGTGCATGTGCAGGCTGATACTGCTTAGTTAAAATGCAGGGTTGTCTCTGTTAAAATTTATTGAGAAATAAATTATCAAGTAATCAGATCAACCTATCGTTTCAGAATATTAATAGTTTTGTGTGTACTTTTACAGTCAGCTGAAGGCAGAGATCCAGGCTATCCGTATGAAGAGCGTGTTACGAGCGGGTGACGATCTCTCCAAGATGTGCGCGCGATGTCATGCGGAGCTCGGCAGGTTCTTCAATCGCGGAGATCTGTGTCCCAAGTGTCGCTTCCGAGTGTGCAATATGTGTAAGGAGAATCTCTTCAGGGGGCAGTGGCTCTGTGTACTATGTTATAAACAAAGGTTTGTCTGCTGTAAAGGGTGACTTCAGAAACTGAAATATTCTGGATAATTTTTAAGATATTTTATATATAAACAACATGCTTATGTATAGGTTGAGCAATCAATGGGCAATATTAAATACATCACAAGGAACAATAAATCACATTGTAACTTAATATATAATATGGAGTTTTATTTCTAAATGAATAGAAAGCTCTGAAGCCCAGTTTTTTACATGTAACATATACTGCAGATATTATATAAATATCTGTAATAACTTTGAAATTACATATTCCCAATAAACATGAAAAATAAAATTCCAAGATCCATTTGTAGGCAGCTGAAATTTTTTACGGGGGACCTGAGTTCTGGTCAGCTTTCACGATGGCCCTCAGGGGCAGACCTGGTCAAAGCCTCCATCCATAAAATGTCCGTGTTCAAAGGTAAGGCTGTTCACTACTAACAGTGATGTAGACCAACTTAACAGTGATATGAAACAGCAGACAGGGATGTTAACAGATATAAACACAAACTGAAGGTGAAGTGAAACAGCTGGTAAAGTAGAGGGATAGGAAGAGTTATCCCTCTTAGATTGGAGTTTACAGTTTTAAGAAAATTTATAAAATAGTTTAAATGATTAAATATTTGCTATATTTGGTTGTCATTTAAGCAGCATGTCACTTTTAAAATTCTAAATGAAAGTATCCAGTGCACTTGCTGGCAGCAGGCTTCGATCATATTGTTACAAATTAAATGTTGACTATCACATCACAGCTATACACCCTCTAATACTTATCCAGGTGATAATTATTTAAAGGGTCCTTGAGACTGTTGCATTTGCCATTTTGTTTACAATTTTTAAAATTTCTATTTTAAAATTTTTCAAAAAACAATTTCAGTTTGAATGAATTGAACTTGTATTAAACTTCTTTTACATTCAACAACAATGGCCAATCGTTCTTCATTAAAAAATGTAACATGTCACGTCAAACTTCTGTGTTTGATAATTGAAACATGCTAAATAAATTTGTCTTTAGAACTGTTAAGTGAATATGCTTGTCAATGCTTGAAAAAGCCATTATTAATTTTAATGTGGAACGTGGAACAAGTCATAATGAATTTGTAACATAAGGCTGATCTTATGATTTCATTTACTCTGAATCCAGACACAATTGATTTTCAATTACGGAATTGGTCTGCAGGAGGATTAATGTCATCTTTTTGTGTGTGAAGATTTTATTAGCTGCTTGTAGATATGGGCAATAAAAATTCCTCTTGTCTGGAATAGATTATTTATATGCTGTTTCTTTAACATGGAAATTTTATCTGATAAGCTAAATTTCAAGTCTGAAGTCCATAAGAGTTCAAAAAAAGATAATGGATGGAGGGGGGAGGGGGCTTAATAAATAGTTTGGATGGGAAATACAAAGTGCTTATAATCCTTAGGGATTTGTTTTGTTTGTTTTTTTAATAGATTAATTGGCAGATTTCTGTTATAATTTGTATACATGAGCTCGTGCAAATCTGCAAAATTTAAATTTTTAGTTGTTAATTTTTTTTAGCTGCTAATAATGAAATATTTCCTTTTGCCTTTTGGGTTAGGAGTTGGAGGAAGGAGTGATATTGAACTTGGGGGAAAATCCTCTCTGTATGAATAATGCAGAAAAGCTTCTAAAAAATATAAAATATTTAGATAAATAATCCATCAGTATGGGATATTTAGTGTCAACAATTCATCATTATCATTGATTTCTTTCTCCCAAGATAAATGTTGATGAATTTCGATTTTAACAAATATTTACTATGAGAATTGTCACAATAGTAAGGGATACACAGTACTCTAATTTATTGGAACAAGTTCAATATTTATATTAGATTTATACCTTGTTTCTGTATTGTTCAAATGATCTGTGAGTTAGCTATGAATATTTCATAATCTTGCCAGGTAAAGGGAAACTGGAAAAGTCTATAACGACAAAATTTAACAAAATATATCGTTATATACAGCTATTTGATGGGATGTTGAGACATGTAGATTGGTATTTACAAACAACTTTTGCTATAATTGGCCCAAAAGGGTGCTTTAAACGTCAAGTGCAGGCATATGGAAGCTCAGCCTAATTTGATGGAACAGTTATGGAGAAAGACAAAGATCTAATTGATTTTACTGGGTCTTCTTGCTCTGAGAGCCTCAGAAATTCTGTGTACCAGTTATCATAACCTGAGCCAGTCTGTGCTTCAATGAGTTCTCAGCATGGGAATTAACTAGGTCTTAATGTCTATCACTGTACTGTAGCAGATAGGTGCTTAATTAAGAATTTATTGGTGAGGAAAGACTGTTAGATAAGGGTGCATATTTTCAGTAGTCTATGTGGAGCAGTTAAAATGGACCATGTCTGTCGGGGCCTTGGATGGGTGTTATGTGTATATTGATTTGTGTAATATGTTTCACATTCTAGGCTCAATATGGATTTTGATCTCCGAGTCTTTTGTTTTTAGGGAAAAACCACATTACATTAAAGGTCTACAGTATAGAGTTTTGTTGTTTTCAAGTTTGAGTTGAAAAGATTTTCTCTTTGTTGTTTGTGGTTAGCACTACTTGTGAATGAGTGAAAAGTTCTCACAAGGCCCTAGGGACAGGAATATACACATTTGAAGCAACAATGATGTAAAGAGTATAGATTTTTATCAATGCCTGATGTTTCTTCTGAAGAATTTGTTAGAGGATGAAATTGTGTCTAGCTGTAAGCTCTGGAAAGCAGAAAATATAAGTGGATAGCAAGGGTCTTGAATACGTTTTATGGAATGGATATAGAAATAAAATTCTTATGCCTATCTGCCTTGTGAAAAGCTATAGCTTTGGTGTCAGAAGAAATCCCAGCTCGATATTCTTGTCAAAGAATATAAAACTGATTGGTGAACATACTAGAATGTACTAGATTGTCTGCTTTTATGTGCATAATAGGGGGGACTTAAATTACCTGTTCCATATAGTCCATTCCTCCAGGGTAAAGTTTATCGGTGATCATATTGGAATTTCTCGTAATTAGGCACTGTGACCATGGGTAAATGGCCGGAATAAGCATTGGACATTTGATATTATTCAGACGATCAAGGACTCCCATATAATATATTGGACTCAAGGATGTATTTCCAGATCTAGAGGAGTGTTAAGTGAATTAATCCTGTACCCAGGTTTGTGGTTGTTTTCACATTGAATGGATGTGAATTCTGTGAATTTCTGTGGTGATTTGGTAGACGAAAAAGTGAATTGTTTATTTGAAAAAATACAATGTGTTACTGAATGCCGAGTTTGATTTTTTGTTGTACTGAATTTAACAGTAGTTCTGTGAAGTGGACTGTTTGTGAAATTTTCTGGTAAGTTTGTGTATTAATGGTGATCTAATCATACAAATACAAATATGGACTCTGTTTGCAAACATTTTATCATGATTCTGTAGAATACCAATAATAAACAGAATTCTAGCTTGAAGTTTGGTCCTGCTTAAGAATGTCCATTGGCAAATAGCTGTCTGGCAAAAGTAATTAAGCCAGTTTTTATGAAAATTGGATGATATTACAATTGACAATTAAATAATGAATTATTTATCATTTCTTACATGTAAAACCAAACCACAAAACACCTGTTCGATCTTTAAGACCGGTTCTTAATTAACATTCCACCACACACATTAACTGAGAGAGAGTCCTGAAGCAATTAGCTAATTGACTGGCCATATCAGGTAGCAATTCTTGAGTTGCATGTCATCAACAGATAGCATGTACATGCTACCAACTCCTTACTTTTGTCACAATTAAATCAATTTTGTAGGAAAACCTTAGCCTGAATATTGTAAGATACTCATGAGGACAAGTTTATGGTCATAATGACATAAAAGAAAAATTATTTACGATTAAATGATTTTGTACTTTTTTTAGAAGAAAATTTAGAAGCTTGTTCTCTAGCAAAGGTCATCTAATAACCTTACTATATGTGATATGAACTGGATTCAAAGTTAGTTACCATTACAAGTTCAAGGTCACTGTCCAAAAAAAGTATACAATATATACATATCCTGTACTTGCAGTTATCTTGTACTCCTGATATATAGAGTACCATTGAAAGTCAATCATAGACTTTGGAGATTACCTATAACATAAACATGAGCTGTGACCTTGACTCAAGGTCATTTGAGTAGGTCAAAGGTCAACATTGTGCTACAAAAATGTATTCAAGTTCTGTCTGGTCCAGAAATGTAAAAAATGATTCTGTAAAATCAGTGTTTATCTTTTATATTCCTTATACTTTGAAAGTATGTCAGGATTATATAGGTCAGTTGAGGGTCATTGTTAGATATTCTTTGCTTTACAGTGGCTGCTACGTTATTGTTGACAACTTACATGAACGATCACGTTACACGAACGATTCCGCACGATTAAACCTGTTACACAAACGATCCTTCACACACACGATTCCACACGTTACACGATCTTACACGATTGCAAACGCACAATTCTTCTCTCAAAATAGTTCAAAATATTTAGGAATCAATATTTTCAAAGCGAAATACGGCTCAATACTAATTTAAGATTTCAAAGAATTATCAATATTATTTCGTAGACTTTGAAAAATGAAAACAAAGCAAAAATGGTTATTTCAGTCTGTAACTAAAGACATGTAAGACTTATTCATTATTTTAGATTATAAATAATTATTTACTAGGTAATTCTCCGACCTAAGAAAACAGTTTTTTTTTTTCATTCTATCAGAAGATGCACATGTAGGTGGACCGTAAAAATTGATTGAATTAGATTTCATTCTATGCAGAAAGGGGGATACGATTAAAAAAAAAAATGGCAGCATAAAATGACTTAAATCACAAGTTATACCCATATGTTTCCATTGATTCAATTTTTGTGAATCTCTAAAAATGAACTTGGTTATTATTTATCTTTTTTTAAAGTCAATTAAAAGTAAGCTCCAGCGATAAACACTCAGAAAAAACCCCGAAAATTGTGTCGTGTACATGTACGTTCGCTGACTAAATATTTATGTAAGGATCGAAAAATGTTTAATTAATTGTAAAAATATTTATTTTTGATGTATTGATTTTTAAAATATCTTGACCACAATTACATGTAGTTGTAAACAAGAATGAAAATCAGAGGAATAAAACCGTTAAACATCTAAGTGCGGTTTATCACAATATAGGTCACGCTACTTAATATGACGAAACATAATATTGTACGACTTACTATATTGCTTGTTAATGAGTGATAATTAGTTCGTTCTGTATTCAGTTATGCAAATTGTGCTTCATACATTTTATTTCGATGTAAATAAATTTAAAAAAACAAGCAAACCTCTTGTTTAATAAATAACATTCCGATAAAATCTAAGAAAACGAAATTTACACGATCGCGCACAATTAAAACCGCAAAC